ACCCTCAAAAGCCAGTTTTGGAGATCTGAGTCACCACTCACAGGAAGATTTACATCAGGGTAATAAGGTGTTGGGAGGGAACATGGTGAAAACAAGAAGAAGGAAGAAAAGCTACTGTGTGGTTGTGACTCTCGGAAGAGGGGTATAAAAGCCTTGGTCAGGGGAAAGGAGCTGTCCAAACCCATCCCTCCTCCTCTACTCCTCTCCCAAGATCCCTCCCACCCCAGACACCATGTGCGACACCAGCTGCTCCACTGGCTGCCAGCCGGCCTGCTCCGTGCCCATCTGCTGCAAGCCCGTCTGCTGTGTCCGTCCCTGCTGCCGCCCGGCCTCCTGTGTGGCCCTGCTCTGCCGCCCAGCCTGCCCCGTGGTGACTGGCTGCGAGGCAGTCTGTGGAGCTGGCAGCAGCTCCCCCTCATGCTGTGGAGGCAGCCCCTGCCAGGCTGGTCCCTGCCAGTCCACCTGCTGTGTGTCCAACCCTTGCCAGTCCACCTGCCTCCAGGCTGGTCCCTGCCAGTCCACCTGCTGCCAGGCAGTCTGTGGAGATGGCAGTGGCTCCCCCTCCTGCTTTGTGTCCAGCCCCTGCCAGTCCACGTGCTGTGTGCCTGTATGCTGCAAACCCGCTCTGTGTGTGCCCGTGTGCTGCAAGCCTGTCGCATGTGGGTTCCCGTCTTGCCAGGTCTCCTGCTGCAAGCCAGCTTCCTACACAGCCTTGGTCTGCAGACCCACCTGTGCCCCCTCCTGCTGCTGCTGAACAGGCCATCCACTCATGGTTCAATGAAATGAGATGGGAAACACCCTGACTTAGGTCACTGTGGCCACAGCTCTGCTGGTCCCCTGGAACACTGGACGCCTTCACTGGCCACACAAAGCAGGCCGTTGATCCAGTCCACAGGGGCTTCCATTTCCCCCATCCCCTCCCTGAAATCCCCAGAGCAGAATCCTGGTGGGCTGACACTTTGGCTCTGCTCATCGTCCACTTCACCTGAGGGCGGGGCTCGTCTCTGAGGGTTTGTCCCATTGCACATTTGCTGTTGGAGTCTGCCTTGGCAAGCTAATAAACCGTTGTAATCTGCCACATAGACACCTGTTTCTCCTGCTTTTCCTTCACTTCCACGAGGCCTAGGCTTGTCCCTTCAAGGGGAGCCTATGCCACCCCATGCCGCCCCCCTGCTAGCTCTCAGTTGGCTCTCTCAATATGCGGGGAGACTGGGTCCAAGGTCTGGAGAAAGGACGCAGAGTGAGTCAGTCAGCAAGCTTCTGCTGAGGGCTAACCATATGCCAAGCCCTGAGCTAAGCTTGGGGGGATACAAAAAAGACAAAACCTGGCCCTGCCCTCAAGAACCTTACATTCTAATGGAGAGACACCAAGCAAACCACCATATAGACGCAAGAGCTCTAAGTGGGAGGTGATCTCAGAGAGAAGGGGCTAGCAGTGGGGTGGGGGATGGGGACAGGAAAGGTCACCTTCAGAAGGCGGGACTTGAGCCGAGCCTCACAGGAAGCCCGGCAAACTAAAGGCAGAGGCGAGGAGGGTCCCAGGTGGGGGGAGGGGTGGCACACAGCCAGAGCAAAGCCAGAGGTGACATGGAACACTGCCTCGAGGAGATGCAAGCCTTCCAGAGGAGCTGGAGTGTGCTGAGGAGGGCCTGTGCAAGATGGCAAGGGAGGGAGGGACCAGACTGCAAAGGACTTTCAACGCCAAAAAGGGGTTTCTAGTTGATCCAGGAGGTAACAAGTGGCCCCTGGAGTGTCCTGAATAGGGGAGTGATGTGGTCAGACCTCTGCTTCAGGAAAATCCCTTTGGCAATGGAGAGGCCGGTGGCCTGGAGTGGGGAGGCATGAGGAAGCTGTTACAATAGCGTGGACAGTGACTGTAGGAGTAGAAAGGGCTGTGTGGGAAAGATGGAGTAAATGAAAAAAACACAAGATACAGCAATAGATTGGACACGTGGGCGAGTCAGACGGAGGAACTGAGCTGGGTGGCTGGAAGGGTGGCTGTGCCCAAGATAACAGGGAAGTGGGGAAGAAGGATGGTTGGGGGACAAATGAGCTCCTTTTTTTAATGTGGACATTTTGAGTGTGAAAGGCTTATGGGCCAATTGGTTAGAGGTGTCCAATGGGCTGTTGGCAGTGCATGACTGTAGCTCAGGAGAGAGGCTGGAGTGGATGTGCGAGTCACCCATCTGAACCCATGGAAACTGCAGAGATTCCCCAGACAGTGGAGAGAGAGAGAAGGCAGGGCCCAGAACAAAGCCATGGGAGGCGTCCAAAGGGAGACTGAGGGACAGACTGGAGAACCGGCAGAGAGCAGAGAGCTAGAGGGTTAATGATCAAAACGAAGGTTGCAGATGGACCAAAGAATCTCCCCACCCCTTCCATCTACCCTGTGGTGTCCTGTCTAGGACACCTAGCTGTCCTCAGGTTTGTGTTTGCCATCACATCGGGAGAGCCTTGAGGGCAGGATAGCTCTGCCTTCCTTTGTATCCCCACCTCTTAGCACAGCATTCCCCAGCAGCCCCACGGCAAGGCTGGTACCCCTGGGGGAGGGGATGACTCTACCATCAGAAGTGGATGGAACTCCATCAGTGGAATCAACATTAAAGAAGAGGCCTGGCCATCTGCTCTGCGGCTGCCCCCTGCGGACCCTGGGACCTCGCCTGCTGCCCCCCAGCTGAAACCTTCCCTGGGGGTTGTCTCCCCCACCAGAACGACGGTCTGGCTTTTCTCTTTGTATCCCAACTCACTTTATTAATTCATTCTAACGGGGTAAGAAGAAGAGCATAGAGAAATATATGAAGTACAAGAGAAAGAGAATAAATGCATAGATTATCAAGGGAGTTTGGGAGAGAACGCACCACAGCTGGGGGATCAGGAAACGTTTCATGCAGAAGATGGACCTGCAGTGCATCTTTTTAAAATGTATTTGGGGTGAGGCGATTGGGGTTAAGTGACTGCCCAGGGTCACACAGCTAGCAAATGTCAAGGGTCTGAGGCTGGATTTGAACTCAGGTCCTCCTGACTCCAAGGTCAGAGCTCTATCCACTGTGCCACCTAGCTGCCCCTGCCTGCAGTGCATCTTATGGAAAAAGGAAACCTTGGGAGGCGAAGAAAGGAGGGAAGGCATCCCAGGCATGAGGGACTGCCAGTTCAAAGGCACAGAGATGAGAGATAGAGGGCTGCACGTTAGGGATAGAGGTTTGGCTGGATTGCAGGACAGAGGAGGCGGAGGAATGTCCAGAGGTTCCCTCATGTCCCTCCTCAAGGCCCAGAGATCAAGGAGATGAACTTGCCCCCCCTGGGTTTTTGTCCCATTCCACCTCCTGGCTCTTAGTGTGCTTAAGGTTAGGGAGAGGACATGCACCTCTGCTGTCTTTTATGCCATCCCGATCTTATCCTCCAGCTCTGCGTAAGCCAAGCCATGGGAAGCCTTTGGCTTGCCAACAGCCCCTGAACCTGTGTCTTTCTTTTTTCCTCTAGCCTCCTACAACTCCTCTTTGCCACCTCTGTCAGGTGAGGACCCTCTCTTGTCGGATGCTGAGGCCATTTGCAGGGAGTCAACTCTTCTTCTACTCCTTTCACTTCTAAAACGTTGGTCCAGGTTGGTCCGGTCTCTGACACCGAGCAGCCCCAGCACACATCGCTGAGATCCTGTCACCTCCTGTTTTCTCTAGCACATCGCCTGCACCAGCAGTCCCCTGGCTCTCCCCCTCTACTTTCTGCCTTGAAGTATGCTCAAGCCTCCCCCTGCCTTCAGAAGCATCCCTTCAATCATCCTCCAGTCTGCCTCAAACTCCTAGGAAAAGCCTCTTACCCTCACGGCCACTTTGCAGTCTCTCCCTCATTCCTTAACCCCTTACAATTTAGCTCCAACATCATTGACCTGAACCTGCCCCCACCCCACCCAACTGGATCATATTTTCTCAGCGTCCATCCTTCTCCGTTGCTCTGTAGCATTGAAACTGTTGATCAGTCTCTCCTCCTGGCCATCTTCTTTTCCCTGGGTTTTTTGGAACTGTTGTCTTCTGCTCCATCTCCTACTAGCTGACTACTCCTCCTTCATCTCCTCTGCTGGCTTGTCATCCATATCATGCTCCACAAGGCTCGGTCCGACATCTTCAACTATTCCCTCTCCATCCTTTGCGGTGGTAACTTCGCCAGGTCTCATGGCTTGGCCATCATCTCCATGGAGACACCTTCCAAATTCACAAATCAAATCCCATTATCTCCCGAATCATCAGTCCTACCCCATCACCTTCAAATCTAACAATTCCAACTGCATATCAATAGACATCTTATGAACAAAACAGACCTTGTTTTCTGACTTCTTCCCTAAAGATTCAGTCTCTCTTCCATGCTTGCCCATTGATCCCTTTAGTGGGGTGTTGGGCCAGAGCCAAACCACTGGAGTAAGCGTCCCTCCACATGGAGTAGTCTCAGACAATGGTGATGGCGTGGAAGGGGTGTGCCTTGGGGACACTAGAACCTGTGTGAGCACCCTGTAACTGGTGATGGTGGGAGAACCCGCATGGTGAAGGGGAGGATCTTCGATTAGTTTGAGAGGCATTCAAAACGGCTATTCCACATCGATAATTTGTTCTCTTTTGCTTCTTTGCCATTTCTTGTTTCCTTGACTTCAGCTAAGCTCTGGTGGTATGAAAGCATCTGATGAGGGGACCATACCATGAAGGGCAGTGGGACCTCTCCCCTTCCTACTCTGAGACTATATGGCCCCAGAGAATGGGGCCTCATGGGACTCTTGACCCTTTCTGTTCTGTTCTAGCACCAGGCAGTAGAGTCTCAATCGAGGCCAAAACACAAATTGGAGTAATTCAGAGGCTGGAATCCAGGTTGTTGGGCCCAGTCAGTCCAGTATCAAGGCTCTGAGCATCAGTCTTTGGGAGGGACCTTTAAGACCCCAGCACAGTGGCCGGCGACGCTTCCTATAGATGGGATCAGGGTATAGGGGGGCTATGCCCATGGGTTGGTAGAACGTCTGTATGCTTCTTCCATAGTATTAAAGTAAATACCGCTTTTGAAAAGGCAATTAATGTTAAGTGGTTAATGGAACTGAGGGACTAGTTACTGGGTCCCTAAAAGTGGGGGGAGCAAGCTGGTGGCAGAGAAGAGAGAAATCCCATGGACGCTGAGGGGGAGACAGAGCAGGCCTAGCCCAGAGATAGAGGGGCCAGAATGTCCATATTACAGGACAAGGGAACCACGATTGCTAGATATCCTGATCTCTCTCTTCGGGCAACCAATTTTCCTCCCTAAAATCAGTACTCACACTTAAGGAGATGGCCTACGTTTACAAGCCATAGACTCCACAACAAAGAACCGCATTCAGAAACCAGATGCCCCCAGCACCAGAGAGCAGGACCATGAATTTCATTGTTGACTGGCCTTCCTTCCCCTCAATGGAAGCCACACTCACTGGCCTACCTGCAGCATCAACATTGGCTGCAGGGATCAACAGAGCCCAAGGCAGGATACCATCACCTCAAAGCACTAGAACGTGCATACTCATGTGCGCTCACCAAAACACAAACAAGCACAAGCCCACTCATACGTGGCCATGCCCTGGACAATGTCACCATCACCTAATGATGGGCTCTGGGGGAAACAGCCAGCTATAAACAACAACAGGGAAGAAGGCTCAGTCTCCCCTTGGCACATCCTCCTGCAG